AAAAGATCTTTACAATCAAATTTAGAGTGACTGGATTATTTCCTGTTGGTCGCGAACACCCTGGATAATTACCAAGGAGAAAATCCTAGCTTACTTGAAGATTCGTGTTTGAGCCTTTTTTGGCTGGAAACAACAAACAATCGAAGTATGAGAAATTTAGAACTCAATTTAGAATTCATTTTCTCGCTCCAGGACACCTTTATTAATTACTTAGTAAAGATACTATAGATACTATTATCAATTGTCGTGTTTTGTCAGTGAAACCTCTTAATTCTATTGTTTACTGATAATTAATGGAAACAATGTCCTCGTACCATTTAGAGAGCAGTTTGTTTTGGAAGCTTCTCAAGCTGTTTGGCACTTGGTTAAAAGTATGATGTCACTGAGATCTGATGTGTTATATGTGATTTGATCGTTGAAGAACCGCTTCAAACCAAATTCGATGACTCCGTCTCTAGAATTATAGTTTCGATGTATTTGAAAATTCGAATTCTATCAAACACAATTGCAGCCACAAAGAAAAATTTACAGATAGGTTTATCCAGTTTTTTTTAAATAATTCTTTTCTTGCAAATCAATTGAATAGAGTATTTTAAAAATAAAATAGAGCCACAATCTTTGAACTGACAGCTTGGGAATCTTCTTTTATCAATAAAGTCCTGGAGTCTTACAATTATCAAGATTTTTTTCAATTATAATATGATAACAGTTCCAAATTTTCTTTTTCGAATTGTTACCATCGCGATCATCCAACCTCGTAAATTCAATGCAATAAATTTCGTTCTACAAAACACCTCCTCCCACTATACATTATTTTATTGTGACTTTTGTTCCAATCGCAGTGTCTTTAGTTGCCTGAAATGTCTAACAATAGCAAGAGAGTGCATATATCTGTGGATTACCCGTAACATAATCAAAAATTGAAGGGAGCACTATGAGATCCTAAAGTTCGAACAGAGAAATTGTGCCATTTTTGGATACATTAACGAAATAACGTTAACCGTTCACAGTGGGTCGTTGATTCTTGTAGTATTACAGTAACGAAAACATTAGAATTTAGTAAAATTGCAAGAATGAAGTAGCGCTTCCCTCGCTGCAGCCCTCTACGTAAAGACCGATACATTGCCATGATCGAATGGCGAGAATGGAATGCACTGATCTAAACGTTGAATGCAAAATTCGATACCTGATTTTGTACGACAAAGGTAGGGGTCTGCCTCACTCTAAACATGCACGAAACGAAAACCGTTTAAACCATCTAGATGTTTTAGTGTGCTTATATTGTTAACATTAGTCGAAATGCTCGAGCTTCCGTGATTTCTGTTTTCAGCTTTACGTCCAAGAATGCGACTTGTTCCTTCAGCTTCCTATATCTGTGTTTCTCTGTCACGTACATACATTCTCACACATTTTCACTTCGACAACTCTCGCCTTCGTTATCACTTCCTCTTCGATCTCACTACATCTTCTGCGCCGATGATCATCGTTTACTAACAATTTACTAACCATTCATACTGTGCATCTGCAGGAAGATGTATTCATGGAAAACTTGACATTTTCTGGTTATTGAATAACGTACTGTCAAACGTTTGTATCGAAGATGTTACGCAGAGTATTAGAATGAAATTATCCTATTCAGATAAATAAAAAGTGTCATGTAAATAGTGGATTAAGAATACGGTAGTAGTTCGTTCGAGTAAAATGCGATTTTCTGTTTCAGCGAATGACTTATTTGTTTCGAGCTATTGTAGACTTTGTGTTCAATAAATTACGAATTGTTACAAGTTGGGGAAGTATTATAATTTCAGTTTGTGGTTGGGTCTCAGTTGTCATCATCGAGAAACAGGAATTAAAATTCACTTTGATTAAACGACGAGAAGATAATGGTCTCAACTATCCTCTAACTTATGGAAAATTAATTTTATCTGGAGCATCCATAAGGATTGAATTCCAACATGGACTAATTCAGACAGGTGGTACAAATCATTAGAAAAATGATTCGAGAAGAAACAAGTACGTAATGGTTTACAAACTGGAATTGACTTTTGTTTGCAAAGGAAACACAAAGAGTCTGTACTTGACAGAGACCAATACAGTATGAAATCACAGTTTAATAGACATTGAAAAAATAAGAAAGAAATTTCATAGGAATTGGAGTACCGAGGATGAAATCTAGCAAAAGATCTGAAGAATTACAAGAAGCATGGAGCAACACGAATATGGTAAATTTCGAGAGGAAATGAACCGACTGGAGTATAGAAATTTGTCCTAGATTGTTTACAGAGATGTTTAACGTTAAAATTTCAGTATAAATTGAAAGCAAGCCTTCGTTACGTGACGTAAGGGGTGATATACCCTTATTCCATGCGAGCACGTAGCGTAGTGTCCTCGACGCCAAATTAACTGGCTCCTCAAGGCCACTTTGTCGGCTGCAAGTGACGTCACTACCTCCTCTCTTCCTTAACTGCTTCCAGCTCCTCCTTTTCTCATCTCCTTGTGTCCCCTCTCTTTCTCAATTGCTTTTATCTCCATTCTTTCTCATCTTCTTACGTCTCCTCTCTTCACCAGCTGCTTCTACTTCTCTTCTTTTACTTTCCCTTCTATCTTCCCTTTTACTTTAAATACTTGAGCAACAGTGATAAGCAAAATTCCTAGTCAAATGCAATCCTTGTCTAGTTCGCTCGTTGCTTGTCAAATAAAATTTAGGATTTAAATTGTAGAGCAGCAGAATTAAATATTACAAGATGAATAAATATAAACTTGTACCGGTTAAATAAACCTCATGAATAAATTTTTGTAGGTTGGTTTCATTCATTATTCATAGTTCAAGTAGAACTTTGCCTATATATGGCGAGCAGACAGGTGAATATGATGCACCTTTATAATATAAATTAAGAAATATCCAAGAATGGAAGAAGAAATTGAAGGATTTTAAAATATGGCTGATGTCCAAAAATGCAAAATAGAAAGCTCAGTTTAAATGAAGATGGACATGTTCAATCTACCAGCACCTTATCGATCAAGTAAATAATATCGACATCTACAACGTTAAACGATGATGTTTACAATTGGTTGATAGTACACTGTTCGATATTACTCGACGTTGAATAATATTTCTATTAAGCTTTCGATGAAGAACTCTACTTCACTGTTCACTTTATCTAAAATTTTACCAACAGTGAATAAACATGAAATATCATTTTATAAAAAAAAAATTCAGCTGAAGCAAATTGTAGAAAGTGCCCTGTTGATAATAATAATTTGTTTCTGTGTCCCACTCGATAAGTCGAAACAAATACGTTATTTGCAATTCTGGCCCAGAAAATGATCTTCCACTTGGACGAACTATTTTCAGAGCCACGTTTATATCATTTCCTGCTCCTTTTATTAGAACCATTCCAATACTCTGTCTCGAAAACATGGAAAGAACATCGCCATCGTAAGTTTCACCTTTTGCAATCTTTTCTTGGTGCTACATCTACTTGAAAATTTCTCAACGCACTCGCCTCTAAATGTCAATCTAAATGTATATCGTCGAATTGCATTCATCTCGTAGCGGTAAAGCTGTGCCTACAATAGCGATGCCAATCACGAGATCAAGCAAAACATAAAAAATTGCTGGCTGCGATTACGTAAACGTTCCATTTCGAAGTATCGCCGAAGCAAACAACGAAACCAAAACTGTTCTATCTCGCTCGTGGGTTTCACTTTCGATTTAAAATTCTTCTAAACATCCGCTACTACCGCTTATCACTTAACGTTCGACGAGAATTATCTGTAAGAGCAAATATATCGATCGTAACACTTTGGACGGCGCTCTCTCTCTCTCTCTCTCTCTCTCTCTCTCTCACTCTCTGCAAATTTAAAGCAATCTCGAAAATCTGACGCATGAATCAAATTTCTTCTGCTCTCTCTCTTTCTCTCTCTCTTTCGGTCTTTCACAAGAGTCTTGCAAGATTACGACAGCGTTTTAATCGATGCCTTCGTCGTCGAAACACGTGTCCTGACGACTCGTGACGAGGTCGTGGGCGAAAGTTACCGGGTTTACGGTATTTTTTTTGCGATTATGGACTCGTCGTCGACGAGTCAGCGCTGACTCAGGCGTCACGACACTTTCGTATTGAGATGTGACTGCGAATATGACACAGTGATTGGCACTTTTCATGAATACAACGACACGTTGCACACCGGGATAGGGAAACGCAGTCGTTGCCTTGGGGTTGCCAACTGCATCGAGTAGGAATTAATTTCCACCCTTGTTAGGCGTACCGTACTTCTGTATCGTGTATGTCTATGAGTGCACAAAGGAATTTGGTATTCTTTATTTTTGCAACACGTAATAACGGATATATAAAAGAGAAAACTTCGCGGTTGTTTTTCGTGATTTTGTTGCGACTTTCAAGTATGTATTGACATATTTGCGGTGTTTTTAAAGCAAGGTATATGTAATGTCTTTAGTTGAAATTCCATTCTTAGTATATAAACGTAATCTATAGTAATTATGAAATATAAATTCCATGCCTTTCAATTAAAAACTAATGATGTTTATAATTCAATTTCCACTTCTCTATTTCATTGAAAAAAAAAAAAAAAAATAACGAAAACACATCAATCTCTCACTCCAATTGACTTTGTTACAACTCTGCACCACGTCACCAATTTATCAGAAAAGAAGAGATCTAAAAAGAACAAAGGCAAAAAATGTTGACAAAGGGCCTTTCCCCCGAAAAAAGGACGGTTGGCAACCCTACTACCCCAAACGAGCCGCCATTTCTCTCTGCCCAACCCCGTTTCCCTCTCCTTTTTCGTTCTGCTGCAACCTATTATATATCCGAGGATCCAGCGGATACGTGTTATACATCCGAGGAGAAAGTCCCGCTCAAACAAAAAAAGAAAAAAAAAAAAGAAAAAGAATTTGCAACCACACATAGATGACCCAGTTTGTTTTTTACACGGTTCGTAGTGGCATAGTGTTTTCCAGTTATGATTTCTATTTGCAGGCAATTTTTGCTAGTAGCATACCCGAGATAATAGAGCTCGTAGGCAGTAGGTCCAAGTACAGCGGCGAATACAAGCGGGAACACGGAAAGAGGTATTATTATAAACTATACATCCTTCAATCCTGTCTCTTTTGGTCTATTAACTACTCTTCTTTTTTTTTTTTTTATTATTTTCATATTGTGTACATGTATATATTTACATACTTCTTGTATGTATTTACACACCTGTAACGTATATACTCGTTTTTTTATCCGCAATATATACATCAGTCGATCTGTCGATACTGAACACACACGATATACACAAGTGTGCCCGTGTCGTACGGACACGTGCGTAACGATGATCTTGATTTAGCTGGTCTTATCAGGTACCCGAGTACCGGGTGCACCCGGTTAGTACTCGGGTACATGGGTAATACGGTTACGGTGAAATAAATACACGCACATTACCATTAACCTGATAGTAGCTGATTAACCGGTTGAAATAGTCGTAGAATGAAACCTCGGAATGAAATAACGTAGAACGACAGAGAACATTAACAAGAGATAGTATAATAATTCGTTGCTTGATGAAAAATTGTTAACCAGCTGCAACCTCTCAAGCATTCCATTCGGCTTTGTTTAAATCATGTGGTTTTCTGATACTTTTCAGCAATAAAGAATAATTTAGGCACGAAATATATTGTAGAATATTGCAAAGTAGTTTATGTCAATTTAGGATTCAAAAAATAATAGTACATAGAGTTAGAAGAAAAGTATTAAATATAATGAGAAGTCGTACTTTGTAATTATTAGTCCTCATCTTTTAAATATGGAATTTTTATGAATTTGTTATCTTCTGTAAATATTTTCAAAGGGTGCATATTAAAGAACTTTAAGAGTAACCAAATATATACAGTTATTTAAAAAAAGTATTCACTCATATTATATGTAAATGTAATATAAAACTTTATGGTCTACGAAATATGAATGGAATATTTAGGAGGAAGTTGTTGGTTAATAATTAACAAGCATCGTTAGTGATTTAATACATCATCGTATTGAATACTCCAATCTGCCAATATAGATTATTTGTTTAGGAGTGAACTGAATGCACCTTTATAGGATAGAATATAACAGAGTCGTTTTGATGATGATAATAACATAATAACTATTAACAATACCACCAAAATTAGTTAGTATTGTACTCAGTGATTATGATAAGAACTAACGAAGTAATAATCGATTGTGAACTATATTCAAATACAAGACAGAAAATATTATAACACTATTGAAATAAAACTCTGTAATATGATTCATCTAATTTCGGTTATTGCTTCGTTATTTAGTCCTTGAGTACAATTATTATTGAAATATTGTATATATAAAATGGGTACCGAAGAAATGTTTAAGTTTGAATTTGATTCATTCGGTTAGATCTTATATTTTTTGTCTAAAAGAGTTTCATCTGACAACTTGAAGAGAGTATATACACCTAGAAGAGATTTATTAAAGTAAGATTTTTATTGAAGAGTGTGTTTAAATGACTGAATTATGACCATAGAAGTCTCAGGATATTTTCGCGGCAGTGGAACACCCTCAATGTACACTGAAGTATCATTAAACTGTTCGTTCCTTTTACTTAGCTTTTAAGTTCTTAACGTGAATCACAACAACGCACTTAGTGACAGAGAGACTATTAATCGTTAGAAAAATCTATAAAGCCAGACAAGGGTCTGTCTCGTCTGTTTGTCGATTAGGGGCAACTTCATCAATTCTGTAAATATTAACGTAATTTTTGTACACAATGTTGACAAAAGATCTATGTTTTCTCGAAGGTGTATATGCTTCATGAGGTTCCTGAGGGAGTAACCCGAGCAATGAGGTGAGACTTATAGTCTTGGCTTATAGCTTAACTATCAGGTGCCATCTAATACTGTTTGAAAGATGTAGGACTGTAGAAGAATGACAAGGGTCGTCGACCAACCGAGTTCACGCAGTCACCTGATAGGAAAGGAGGCTGGGCTGACGTTTCCAACCTCAGGGATCTTATTTAAGTTATCGGATAACGGTTCCCTGCGGGCTCGCAACCAAGTCTTCATAGAAAACGGTCCCCTGGTGAAGTCTATAAATTGATTGTCCGATTAAAATAAAGATAGGGCGGAGAAGAAGGAATATAAGATGAACCGAACAGATCTATTGCAAAATTAAGATAAAACGAAATAAATGGTAACTTGAAGCTCAAAAATTGAAATAATATATTCTAAAAGTAGGGATGAAATACGTACACACGCAAAATGACTGCAAAACGGTTTGAAACAGTTATTTACATCAAGGGTGAACAAAATTCTTATCCAGAAAATTTTCTTTTGGCACGAAGAATCAATATATTTAGTTTTGTTGCATCATTTTTAAATGCATTGAATATCAAAGAATCTCAGACTATGTCTTTGAAAATTACTTATTTTTCAAATATCTTATTGACACTAATACAAGTACTTCAATTTCGTAATGTTTAAACTTTAGCTGTTTTTTCAGAACACGACTTGAAAGCTGTTGATAGATTTCTTTTAATGTTACGAGATACATAAAACAACTTTTATATATAACTTTTAGAATATCCTATTTAGTTCAATTATAATAAAAAATAATGATGTTACTGTCGCAATTACTTGGATCTTTCTAAGTATGATAATCAAAATATACGCAGAAACGCTGTCTGAAAATAAAGGGATCGCAGTTAAGTCAAAGTCTAAAAGAAAACCGTGAATTCCCACAAATCAATTCTTCAAATTTATGCTTTTTTTTTGTACGATCGATGGGATTTATTCGTTCTGAATGAACGGGGTGCATCGAGATGTTCAGTAGAAAGTATTGGCGTCTTTCATCGAATTTCTATCTCGTTTGGCATTGAAACAATTTTATGGTCTACGTTAACGTAAGTTCTGCTGAAAGAAATTTGGAGAAACAAGGAATTCAAATGTATGAGCAAGAAATTCTATAACTCATCCTATACCACCAATGAGAATTATTCCATTCTCGACAGAGATCCGACGAATTTTCTCCAAGTTCTTCAGGATCCAATTCAACCATGACAAAAGCACACTTTTCACCAGGATTGCACGGTTTGCCACTTTAGTCTGCTACCTCTAGCGTATGATTACACGTACACGAACATTGCTTTTAGTATTCGAAAGTGATCTCTATTATTCGCTCGAAACTCGAAATACCAAGCTGTATGAAAACATTCAATCGACCTACCTAGTATATCTAATTTTTCCCACCACGGAATTTTCACGGAACCATATTAAAATGCAATAATCGACTAGGTTTCTCCACAGCTTATGTATTACGAGTTACTGTGCTAGATACCGGCGAGTACACCACGCGAAACTTCCGCACACTATCATACGCGATCAAGGTACAAATAATACGCGACATGCAACGTTCGCCCTAGTTTTTGTTTACTTTCCACCTAGTATTCCTTTATGTCGGGCAACACAGTTACGTTTCGATTCACGTACGAGCACCCTTGACGTCGAACGATGCCATCGCAGAAATGTTGTTAACGACGGCGTTTGTGCACCACTCAGATTGCAAGTTGTCCGCATCACACGCTACAATAGAGCCTGCATGCCAGTTAATTGAAGACTGAAATATTTTACGAGGCTTTACACGACACTTGTTTCGTTCGCGGGCGCGTGTACGCGTAAGTCCTCGTCGCATAGAGACTAATGGTAACTAGAACTATTTAAGGGGGTACACGCTGTTGACGTGGCGGAAATTCCAGAATTCCTTTTCATGATTTAAATATGTATTAAAATTCAGAATAAAACGTAATTTTATAGTATAAGTGTTGGACTTGATATTCAAATTTTTTCTTAAGATATATTTTCACATATGTCACATGTTTCACATACATTTTATTTTATATTATTATGTGTTCCTGGAAATTTGTATCTTGGTAATTTTTAAATATATCTCAACAACTGAACTGAAAAATTGTGCTTTGTTTTGGATTAAAATGTGCATTTAAATCCTGAATTTTTGCTACGACAACTGCTTGCACCCCCTTAATCGAAGGATCATCGCACTGTAACGTGAAAACAATGAAGAACTAACGGCACTGTGTTCTCCTAGTAGGATGAACCCTCCGCGTCCTTTTATTATTTTCTGAAGCATATTATCTGAAGGTAATTTATTATTTGATGATCGGTGGAACTGGAGGCATATGCGGCACGATTTTATTTGTTTTACCCTTCCAGGTTAGCCTGATCACGACGTGATCCATTTCATCGTTCCGACGAAAACGTTATAATAGTAAACATAAATAACACGAGTAAAGTCGCGCTTCTGAAAGCGCGAATAAGAGTGACTGGAGAGTAGTGAGAATTAGTTTGTGTGCTCAGAGTGTACGAGTATCGAATGTTTGCAGATAGGTCTGATCGTTAGGTGGAGATAGGTTCCTGACGAGAGGCTGTTTGGTGGGGTGATTTTTAATCATTATCTTGTAGATTCTGATCTTACTATGTGACGAGTACACCTATGGAGTATGTTTAATCTAATTTGCTATTTTATTTTGAAAAGGACTAGCAATTTTAAAAGTAACAATTTTAAAAGTAACTGTTTCAATTAATTAAATTTTAGTTGACTGATAAATTTTAATATCCATGTCCATCTTACTACAGATTCAACAGTTTTCGATTTTATTTTTCATTCTTTCAAAAAGAATTTTATCAAAGTGCTTAATCATCAATTGTTTATCTCGATGATATCGAAGATCGAATAATGTGAATCTTGACTAAAAATCACAGCACTGAATCGTTACCTCTCATCGCGTAAACAGTTTGTCACATTTTCTTCTTCATTTCGTCGATAGGATGTATCTTTGCTCGACATCCGCACGCGTAACTTTAACTCATTCACGGCCAACGTCACATTCCCCGAAATCCAATCGACCCTTCCATCTCAAATGATCTGACAGAGTGATGGCCATTGCTCCTTTACAAAAGACGCCTTTATCCAGCTCGAAGGTAGGTAATGCTTATTCGAGGGTTCCGCCATCAATCCAAGATCATTTGGGAATCAGAATAAATTGGAAAGTCCTTGTATC